AAGGTGATTGCACCACTGCACGTCCAGTCAGTGACAGAATGAGGCCCCATCTAGAAAAAAAAAAAAAATGGAAAAAGAAAAAAAATCAACTCTTGTTAATTTTAGGAGAAAACACATACCTAAAGATTCTCTGGAGAGGCTGAAACACCAGGTTTGGCGCTCTGGAAGGAAGAACAACAACAGAGGCTGCTGCTCTGCTGGGTATCGGATACTGCAGTATCCCACCCCTGACACCATTAGCTCGAGATGCTGACATTTTTCTCAGCACTGTGGCCACTGCTGCTCCAAGAATTTGGTCTTTAGATTGGCATTTCAGTCAGCGAGATCCTCCTGGCCCTTGTTTCTATGCATCATAGTTCCTGAATCAAAGTCTGGGGATAGGGTACCTGGAGAGCACAGGTAGGTCTCATGACTGCTCCCTATTTGCAAGGGAGGCTGGGGAAAATATCTGGCTTTTCTGGCTTCTACAACGGGAGGGGAATTCATAAAAAGTATTGAGTAGATAGGGGATGTCTCCTGAGTATGTTTGTATTTGGAAGGAGCGGTGGGGAGCAGGGGAGAGAAAGAGAGTGGCACTATCTAGAGATAAATGGGCAGAAGAGGGCAGTGGGGGGAGCACTATGTGGGAGGAGCCAGGAGGGGTGGGTACAGAGCATGCCAGATGGAAAGATCAGCTTCTTCTCAGAAGCGAGGAAGAGGGAAGTCGAGGAAGCACTTGGAGGACGGCCTCCCCTGGCTCAGAAGGAAGAGTTTATTGACACAGGATGGGCTGGCAAGCTGAGGAAGTGGTAGTGCCAGAGGCTTAGGGTGGAAGGGCTCTGGGAAGTTCCACCACACCCTCCGGAGGTGGACAGCTTTCATGTCCCTGTGAGGCTGCCTGCTCTGCTCCTGGCCAGATTTGGTCGCCAGCAGGTTTTTCTCATGTGGAATCTGTATGCCTGTGTGGCAAATATCTATTCTTTTTCTGTTATCTTTCAGGAGTCTGGTTCCAGACTTTCCTTTCCTTTTTTTTTTTTTTGGAAATGGAGTCTTGCTTTCTTGCCCAGGCTGGAGCATAGGGGCATGATCTTGGCTCACTGCAACCTCCCCCTCCCAGGTTCAAGTGGTTCTCCTGCCTCAGCCTCCCAAGTAGCTGGGACTACAGGCACCTCCCACCATGCCCAGATAATTTTGGTATTTTTAGTAGAGACAGGGTTTCACCATGTTGGCCAGGCTGGTCTTGAACTCCCAACCTTAAGTGATCCATCCACATCAGCCTCCCAAAGTGCTGAGATTACAGGTGTGAGCCAATGCCCCCAGCCAGATCTTCCTTTCTGTTGGCTCCCCAGTCTCCATCAGTGGGAGATGCCCCTCCTCACCCAGCACTGCATCCCAGTGAGGACTTCCTCTGCTGAAATTGAGGGGACAGATCCTTCCTCTCCTGACTATGCCTGGATCCTGTAGTCTGGTTTCTGGAGTCCCCTTGGTGTCTCCTCATTTTCTATTTTTCCTGTGAGCTTCTTAGGTCAGGGGTCCTAGTACCGTCCGTGGCCTTTTAGGTTCTGGGCCCCATTGCAGGAGGTGAGTGACAGGCGAGCATTACTGCCTGAGCTCCTCCTGTCAGATCAGCAGCAGCAGTGGATTCTCACAGGAGCGTGAACCCTGTTGTCAGCTGTGCATGTGAGGGATCTAAGTTGTGCGCTCCTTATGAGAATCTCCCTAACGCTTGATGATCTGATGTGGAACAGTTTCATCCCGAAACCACCCCCCACACTGCCCCCCACCCATGGAAAAATTGTCTTCCACGAAACTGGTCTTTGGTGCCAAAAAGGTTGCGGACTGCTGCCTTAGGCCATTCCTAAAAGTTCCCTCTTGCTTAAGAAACCAGTCCCAAGCCAGTAACATTTGCCACAGTTCTTTCATCTCTGCTAATTGGTCCTCATCTCATCTGCAGAACGAATTGACACTCTCATCCACTGTGGCCATCCTTCAGTGCTGTACGAACCGGGGATTCTCTGGAGGGAGCCTTACCTCCTTTGATCTAGAAGTACAATCTTACAGGTTCTGTTTATGACTATATTCGATTTTTAACAGCTAGTTACACAGTCAATTATATCCCAGAGAGGAGTCCTTTCCATCCCATGAGTGCTGCCCAGTTTGGTCTTACTCCTCATGTTCTTGTTATTTTAACACAAAGACAAATGTATAAATGGACACATGTTGCTTCATTTGCTCACTGCTCTTCCCTGTCCCCCTGTGGTTCTCGTGAGGCTGTCGACCCCAGACTACCACTATATCCCTAGCTACAGGGATGAGGATGTGACCTGGCCTTGGCCAATCAGATTATCTCATGTCCCTGGCAACAGCTGAGCACATAACTGAAGAATCTTTGTCTATAATTGGAATACCAATTCTTTTTCCAGCTGTATGGAGGAAGCCCTTTTCCAATGGGAGAAGAGGCCAGCCATCAGCAGGAAAGCAGAGCTCAAAGACAAAGAGAAGGAAAAGAGAGTTCTGGTGACATTGGTTGAACACGTAGTTCTACCTCTGCCTGAGCCCATGAATATCCTTTCTGTTTAAGCTAGTTTGAAATGTTTTGGTCACTTTCAAGTGGATAAATCCTACCATGCTAACATGCTTAAATATTAGAATGAAGTAATACTTTTAATTATGAAAAACAGAGACAAGTGAAAAGAAAACCCCCAAATCATTCCTAAGCTTATTTTTAGTTATACAAAAAATGGTATAATACCATATATTCTCCTTATTTGTTTATTTTTTAGAGTGATGAACATGTTATTTATTTATTTATTTATTTTTTTTTTGAGAGAGAGAGTCTTGCTCTCTTGCCCAGGCCGGAGTGCAGCATGATCTTGGTTCACTGCAACCTCCGCCTCCCAGGTTCAAGTGATTCTCCTGTCAGCTTCTAGAGTAGCTGGGACTATAGGCATATGCCACCATGTCTGGCTAATTTTTGTATTTTTAGTAGAGATGAGGTTTCGCCATGTTGGCCAGGCTGGTCTTGAACTCCTGACTTCAGGTGATCCGCCCACCTCGGCCTCACAAAGTGCCCTTATATTAGTGTGTGTGTGTTGTGTTGGAGATTATAAAATATGCCCACAAATTCCTTCATCCAGTATGCAATGCCTTTTGCAATGTGAATTTGCTGCTTCCCTTGTGCAGAAGGGAGGTTTATTTCTATCCCTTGACTCTTGGCCTGGTGATTTATTTGAATGGGAGAATGCAGCCGGACATGTATATAACCTTGAGTTGCCAGTCCAGCCTTCTAGATGTGACCAAGACAGCCCAGCCCACAGCCCACCCCACTGCCAGGTATTTGAGGGAGGTGTACTAGTTTGTTTAAAGGAACACCAGAGGCTGGGCAATTTATAAAGAAAACAGGTTTATTTGTCTCATGGTTCTACAGGCTGAACAGGAAGCATAGTGCCAGCATCTGCTTCTGGTGAGGCCTCAAGGAGCTTCCAATCCTGGTAGAAGGAGAAGAGGAGCTGTCATGTCACATGGAGAGAGAAAGGGAGCAAGGGAGAGAGGGGAGGACATGCCAGGCTCCTTTTGAACAACCAGCTCTCAAGCGAACCAATAGTGAAAACTCACTCATTACTGCAGAATGGCAGTAATGCATGAAGGATCTGCCCCATGACCCATACAGTTCCCACTAGGCCCCACCTCCAACATTGGGGATCAACTTCCACATCAAATTGGGAGGAGAGAATTATCCCAACTATATCAGGAGGTCATCTTGAACCCTCTAGCCCTGCTGTCTCTCTCTCAGAATCCAACTGTGGAGGAACTTCCAGCTAACCCTCAAAATCATGAAAAATAATAACTCTTAGCTGTTTTAAACCACTTTTGGAATGAATTATGCAGCAAAAGCTGAGATGGATGGTGTCCTGCCATGTCTCACGGAACTACGTATAACCATTTCCCCCACCTTATTCAATATTTATTAAGGTTACTTTGGTTGCAAACATCAGAAATCAACCCCAGCCAACTTAAACAAAAGGAAAATGCATTAGAATGTCCCTAATGTAAGTCAAGGAACAGAAAATAAAATTGGGAAGTGGGGAAATCAGGGCGTCCGCGGGCTCATTAGCAGCATGATATCCTGGAGTTGCCGTCCAAAAAATTGCCATTAACACCATCCCGCGCTAATGATAGCAACTTCAAGTTTTCAGAGCAGACGGTCTGACCCGCCCCGTTTGGGTCAGTACCCACGTCTGAATCATTTAGCTATGACGAAGTGGGCGTCAGTGGTGGGAGGCAGGAGGCGGACATGTAGAAAGTAGGTGAAGTCGTGGGAGTGCCGATGCAGAAGCCACGAGCGCTGCTCATGGCCTGGGCCTGCTTTTTAACTGCTACATGTTTTGATTCTCCAAAAGTTGTTTTCCTTTCAAATCTCTTTGCAGCTACTGTATCAAGGCATTTTTTTTTTTTTTTTGAAGAAAGGGAAAATAGTGAGGGGCCACTTTTGAAACTGTAACAAATGGGGCAACATTGTATACTTCTGCACAACGTAAGTGAATCTGTCAAGGTTTTATGTGCAAACGGGTCTCTGAGTGAGTGAAATGGTTTTGATCAGTATCTAAAAGAATCTGGGGGTGTAGACATAAAAGGGAGTTAAACCCAGAGTAACAGGTGTTGTGAATACAGAGGAGAGGAACGGGGAGGCTTCGAATGGGGACAGTGTCGACCTCGGCCCCGGCCTGGGGTGGGGGGGCTGCATCTCCGGAGAGAGGGGGCATCTCTTGCCCCTAACTGCGGTGTGACATGTGCCTGGGGCAGCGTCTGCTGGGACTAGCGAGCGCGGGAACCTCGAATAAGTGGGCCAGGGACCTGAGCCTGGGCCCAGGCCCTCGGACTGGGAGGCCCGCCCGCGGAGGCACGCCGGTACCCCTGAGCCTCGCGCTCTGCACCGAAGCAGCCACCCTCACCGAGCTGGAGGGGGCCGGGGGCCTGGAGCGCGGGGGGAGGCTCTGGGACTGAGGCGGTGCCTCCGCCTCCTGCCTGCCGCGGGAGCGCGGGCCGCCGCGGCGACATCTTGCTCAGGAGGAAAGCGTGCCGGAGAGCGAGCCGCCCTTTAGCTGCTGCGCCACGCGCGCCTCTGGCCTGGGCGCAGAGGATCCGCCGGGTGCCGCGGAAAGGAGGTAAGGCCACCCCGCGGGTCCGCATGCCTCGCTAAGGGGCGCCTCCAGAGACCCCGGGGCCACCCGATCACCCGCCCCGCCGCTCCCCTGCCTCGCTCCTCCCCCCGATCAGCCCCCGGATCCCGCGGTCCCCTCTGCGGGACCAGACCGCAGCCTCCCCGCCTTCAGCCCTCGGAGCAGCGGTCCTCGGCGGTGAGCCCTCCGACCCCAGTAGCGCGGGTCCCCCTCGGGCCCCGCCTCCACTGCCGGTCGAGGCCGCCCCCGCCCCCGCCCCGCCCCCTCCGGGACCCGCCCCCTGCGCCCGCCCGGGCGGGGCTCCGGGTTTAAACGTCGCGGCGGGCAGGGCCCGCGGAGGGGCGGGGCAGCCTCTGTGTCGTGTCCCGGGTCCCGTAGGCTGCGGGTAGCGCGCAGCGGCTGGCGCTTGAGGCTGCAGGCGACATCATGTCCCCGGGGAGCGGGGTGAAGAGCGAGTACATGAAGCGCTACCAGGAGCCGCGCTGGGACGAGTACGGGCCGTGCTACCGCGAGCTGCTGCACTACCGCCTGGGCCGCCGGCTGCTGGAGCAGGCGCACGCGCCCTGGCTCTGGGACGACTGGGGCCCAGCCGGCTCCTCGGAGGACTCAGCATCGTCGGAGTCGTCGGGCGTCGGGGGCCCCGCGCCCCGGTGCGCCCCGCCCTCGCCCCCGCCCCCGCCCCCGCCGCCCGCGGAGCCCGCGGCCCAGGAGGAGGCGGAACGGCGGGCGCGCGGGGCCCCGGAGGAGCAGGGCGCGGAGGCCGAGGATGCGGAGGACGCAGCTCTGCCAGGTACTGGGCCGGGAGGGGAGCGCAAGGGGCCTGCACGCAGGGACGGTTTGCTCCAAGCTCTTAGCAGCCAATCTCTATGATTTTTCTTTTTTGAGACGGAGTCTCGCTCTGTCTCTCGGGCTGGAGTGCAATGACGCTATCTCGGCTCACCGCAACCTCCGCCTCTCGGGTTCAAGCAATTCTCCTGCCTGTCTCCCGAGTAGCTGGGATTACAGGCTTGCACCACCACGCCTGGTTCTTTTAGTATTTTTAGTAGAGAAAAATGTTGGTCGGGCTGATCTCGAACTCCGGATCTCTCCGTGTTGGTCAGGCTGGTGGCGAACCCCGGACCTCAGGTGATTCAGTCTCTCCTTAAAGTGCTGGGATTACAGGCGTGAGCACCACACCCGGCCGTCGATTTCTATTTCTTGCGCCCCTCGGGGCAGGCTTTTCCTTCCCATCCCCCCACCCCGTAGGCAGAATCCGTCTGTCTTGACGAAATAAGGAAGGGGCAGCCTTTGCCACCTTTAATTTCCTTAATTAGGTGGCATTCGGTCCAGCCAGCGGTGAACTCAATTGAAGCGCAGCTGGCTGAGTCCCGGGTCTGTCCTCGCGGGCCTCTCCGGCTTGGCTAAGCACCGAGTCCCATCTGCTTATTTCTAAGCGCCCATTTTTGATCAGAGGAGCCCCAGCTTTCATCAGATTCTCAAAGGTGACCCAAAAGGTTAAGAATCACAAAGCTAAGCTTTCTGTCTGATGAATGGGACCATTGTTTTTCGTGTTAACTCCGACCTCGCCGCGCTGTCCTTAAAGAATATTTTGCGTTTGTTTACGTGGGGTGTTGTATAACTTGGCTGTGGGAGCATCTTTGTAAGTGCTAGGTTCTCTCTCATTCCGTCCGGACCCATCCTCCCTCGCCCCTCCAGATCCGAAAGCGCTAGTGCTCCTGCTGCCCCCGGTGCTTCCAGCCTTGGCCCTTCACTTTCTTTCCTGCTCAGAGGGTTGCAGGGCTGGGGACTGTGAGCATGTGAGGCTGGTGCCGAGGACCCAGCTGAAGCCTCAGTACAGCCTGGAGTAACCAATGGTTCCTTCCTGTTTCTCTAACGTTGGCCAGGCACCACCAAATCCCTGGATTTTAAAGAGACTGGAGTGAGGAAAATACAATGAGAGCCTGTTAGACATCCAGTCACTGATGTAGGAATATGTATGTTGTCATTTAATGTTCAAAACAATTCGAAAAAAGACCGCGTTTTAATCTCAATTTTATAGATGAAGAAACAGAAGCTCAGGATTAGTGACTTTATTTATTTATGTATGTATTTTTGTTTACCCGATTGCAAGCCAATCAGACTCTTCCTGGCTTCTCTGTGAGAGGCTGAGGAGATGAAATTTCGGCTCTGAGCCAGGTCGCTTTGCTCCTGGTTGTACCATCTTCAGCTATTTTCAGCTCATCATCGGAGGCAGGATTGCCTCCTCCCATCATGTTACTTGTGAATCCCCACAAATCCTGATGCTTCAGTGATCACTGCTAGAAATGCAAATAACAGAAGGTGGAGGGGTAGGGAACATGCCTTCCAGATTATTCCTGTGGGCTCTGATCTGCTAGCTAAATTGAGATGTACTTTATCAGGCTAAACGGGCGTTTCTCTCCCCCATCTTTTATTGTTTGTGATGGAGCTGTCAAATATTTGCATGCAATAGAAATACAGTTTTTAGGCAGCATTGTGATATGGATGGTGCCTGTGTTTACCAGCTCAGGTAAGCTCTGAGTTCATGATTATTTTGGTTTCCTTAGAGATAGTGTCCTCCCAGTTATTTCTTCCCTGCTAACAAATGTTTCTGGTTTAGGCATCAGGAAGGAGAAAGGATGTTTCTGCTTTCAGGACTCACGATAGCAGCATCTTTTGTTTTGCTCCCACCTGTAAGAGGCCCTTTGACTCCTGTGTTGTTTGCACAAGATTAAATATCCTGGCTTTTAAGTGAATGGTTTGAAATACTAGAGCAATGAGTACTCTTTTGAGTTTCTACAAGACATAAAAATTCTTACCTCCCTCGAACCCACAGATTCACATAGAATCATGTAGTTCCACCTGACTTGTTACAAAAGCGCATCAGTCCCCTGCCATACATAACACCCTGGATTTTCCTTTGGTATTTATTTCCGTATCTCCAAGTAACATAGCTTTTATTTACATTTGATTGTTTTTTCAGTTTTTAACATTTTTTTTTTTACTGATCCCCTCACCCACACACACATGAGCCAGCTTCATACCTGCTCAATACAGTCCTCATAGAGTTTGTTGGATTCATAATTAGTAACTACAATATTGTGTCCATGGAAAAAGTTGCTCAAAGCTGATCCATACTGTTTCCCATGATTCTCCTTTTTCTTTCACAATAGAACCAACACATCAGGTTCACTATCACTCTTGCCATCTTTAGACACCCCTCCCAGGGCCCCTGACCTACTTCTGTCAGACGTGGCTGCTGCTGTTGTGGCCTGCTGGCTGGCTGGCATCTTGGGAGGGCCCTTGGCCATCCTCCTAGGACCTTTCTTGGCTTCTCTCTTGGGTTTGAGTCTCTGTCGTGTGGCCCTCATGTCCTTGGTGGAGCACATCTTCTAGTGGCTTCCTGAGAGAGGATGGTTCAAAGGTTAGTTTTCCTTGAATGCCAGGAGATGGCTTTATTCTACCCTTACAATTTGGTGAGTGTGGCTGGGCATGGAATTGTAGTCTGTAGACACTCTGGAGGCATCTCCTGCTATGTGTTATGACAGCTGATGTTACAGACAGGCATTGTTATGATTCTTGATCTGGATCTTTTGTAGGAAACGTGTTTCCCTTCAGGAAGCTTTCAGGGTCTTCTCTTTGGCCTTTGTGTTCTGACATTTTTCCTTGATCTAGATCTGTTTTCCTTTGCTTTGCTGGGCACTTGGCGGGCCTTTATAGACAAACTCACGTTCTTAATTCCTGGAAGGTTTCTGCAATTATTTTGTTTCTATTTTTTTCCCATTTCTTTTTTTTTTTTGAGTCCTTAGTTGGATATTAGACTATCATTTTATCCTCTAATTTTCTAAGTTTTTCTTTACAGATTTTCATCTTTTGTTGTTTTGATTTCCGGGTGATATTCTCAGCTGTATCTTCTAAATCTCTCATTACATTTTCCATTTGAGGGATCCTATTATTCTTTTAAATTTAAGAGCTCTTGAATTGTTTTCTGGGCTGGCGTTCATTCTCTTCCTTCTCTCATTCCTTTCCTTCCCTTTATATTTCTTTTTAAAGATAGTATCTGGTTCCCGATTCATGCATATAGGATTTTTCTTACTAGTGATATATATTAGAAGTTTTTGTTTGCTTTCTGCTCTTCCTGTGTTTCTTCAGCAGAGTCTTTCACCTCTTGCCTCTTTGATCCCTGGTTCCCCATTCTTACTTAAGGGATGGACACTAAAAAGTTATTAGGAAATTCCGTGTGTGTGTGTGTGTGTGTGTGTGTGTGTGTGCTGGGGTTTGGGGGTGGAAGTGCTTGTGGACCATGGGATTCTTTTCCTCCCACTGCCAATATGCTGTGAAGAGTGATCTAGACTGTCTCCCATGCCTTACTTCATAGTCACGTTTTCTTTTCAGATTAGATTTTATTTTTAGCAAAGTTTACATGTGCAGTAATTTAAACAATTTTGCTTAAAATGACAAAACATGCCCCTGCCGCATTTCCCACCCATGCCCCTTGCCCCTTTCAACTCGATTTCACTTTCCTTTCGGCATTGGCCACCCTCTTTTTATTTAGACTTATCTGTTGGCTTTTCGATTGTGAACATTATCAACTGACTTCCCATTATGGGAGATGAAGATTTGGCTCAGGATCTTAGCTTTGCCTCCCCATTCTACCCCCAGACACATACCAACCCTCATATCCCCACAATAGTAACCGTATGATTGTTTTGTTTAATCTCTGTTCTGTATTTGAATTATGGCTGTGTAAATATTTGCAGGTGAGCCATGTAATATATTTTTTGTTAAAATTTATGGTTTTCCTGAAATTAATAATTGTTTCACTTTTTTGTTTGCTCATTTTTTTTGCCCCTACTCCAGTAATAGGATTATTAAAAAGTAAGCCACCTATCACTGTTTTTTATTTCGTATTTATTTTACCTATCACTAATGCCTGAAATAGCCTAATAGTACTATAAAACTTGCCATATGTCAGATATATCAGGTGTTCTGTTCGTTTGATGTTTTTTTTCCCTTGGAGACATTTTTTGTTTTTTGAGTCCTCAATCCTCTTGTTCTAGTGTAGATTTTATACTAGAGCAGGCACAGCTGCTGAACTGGGCTTTCTTTACCATTTCCCTCCTTTAGGTGATTCCCCTGCCTTGCATGTCTGGGTCTTCCTTTTGCTTGGCTGGTTTCTTCCTTTTGATGAAGTACCTCCTCTGTAGAGCCTGTAAAATACTGCATGGGAATTAGAAATTTTATAACCTTGCAAATCTGAAAATGCCTTTATAATATCCAGGATTGATATTTTGTCAAGGTAGATAATTCTCGATTGGAAACCTCAGCGTTTGAAGGCATTATGATTACACCGAATCCTAGCCTCGGGTCGTAGTCTTGAGAAGTGCCATGCCATTCTGAGTCCTGCTTTGTGTATGTGACCCGCCCCCCATATTTGTTTTCATTTTGTTTTGTTGGAAGCTTTTGGGAGATTCTTTTTATCCTAGATGTTCTACAATTTTGTGATGTGCCTGTGTGTGTCTTTTTTCATTCATCTGGCTGGGCCTTTTTATTCTGGAAGCTTCTCTCAGTTCAGTGATAGTTCCTATTTTTCTGTTTAAAAATAATTTCCGCTGCTCCATATGCTTTATTTTCTCTTTCTATAATTATCCTTAGTTGGATGGTGTACCTGGAGCAGACCTCTAACATTTTTACTTAAAAATGTTTCAACATTGGAATTTGGAATTTTTGGTTCTATTTTTTGGGAGAACCCTTCATTTTTATCTTTTAATATCTCTATTGAAATTTTAAATTCTCACCTTAGTTTTAAATTCCCAAGAGATCATCTATTTCTGGTTCCTAATGTTCTTTACATTAAAAAAAAATAGCATTCTGTTTTCAGATTTCTTTTAACCTACAAAGAAAAAAAAAGGCCAGAAATATATTTTCGGAGCTGCCTTCCCTTCCCTGCCTTGCCTTTTTCTGCATAGTTCTCTTCCTTACTAGCAGAGGATGTACTCAGATGTTTGCTCTTAGCCTGTCTGCTCATATTTAAGAGTAAGGCCTGAAAGAGCTTTTTAGGAGCTCTGTGCACGGGGGATACCTGTTTTCTGTAATTGGATGAGGACCCAGCTGTTCCTCTGGGGGCTCCAAACATGTACACCTGCCAGCATCTCTTGAGTGAGCTGCCCAGACCGTGCATCTGCAGCCTCCTGTCTCATGGGGAATAAGCCTGGCACCAGCATCCTGGGAACAGGGATGGAGGAAAGCGCTGGGAGAGGTCTCCTTTACCATGAGGCCTTTCAGCTCATTCGTTTTCAGGAAGCCGTTACCCTTGGCTTCTGCTGTCCCTAGGGTCATCTCAAGTCCAAGCCTACCCTGCTTCTGCCACTCAAGACTGAAATCTGCAAGCCTTTGGGTTGAAGAGGGGTGACCACCTGGCATATGAACTAGGGGAAAGAATGTGAAAGAAGTATCAATTGCTGTGTAATAAAATTACCTTGAAAACTAGTAGCTTAAAACTAGTGAAAACAGTTGTCCCTTGATAGCTGTGAGAGATTGTTTCCAAGACACCCCCATGGATACCAAAATCTGTGGATATTCAAGTCCCTATATAAAATGGTGTAGTATCTGCATATAACCTGTGCACACCCTCCTGTATACTTCAAATCATCTCTAGATCACTTATAACACCTACTACAATAAAATACCATGTAAATAGTTATGCTGTGTTTTTAATTTGTATTACTTTTCATTGTTTATTATTTTTTATTAATTGAAAATATTCCCAAATATTTTCAATTCATGGTTGAATGAGCACACAGATACATTTTCTGGGCTGGAAGTTGGCCCTGGGCAGTGAGACACCTTGTCTACAGCCTCTACTGAGAGGCTCCGGGCTGGAGGGGCCCGGCTGGGCTGTTGCTGGGACCCTCACATGCATGACCTCCTCCTGTGCCTGGCCTTCCTCAGAACACACTGGCTAGTCTGAAAGGACAGCATTCAGAGACAGACTGAGAGGATACTGCATTGCTTTTTCTCTTTTATCCTCAGGAGCTCTGCAGGCCCTTCCTCACCCATTCTACCCTCACTGGGGAAGTTATTATTTGGTGCAAAAGTCATTGTGGGTTTTGCCATTACTTTCAATGGCACCAAGCCCAGGTTCCAGGCGAGGGCCCATGGATCCCAACTCTTAATGGAGCACATCCATATTATAGGCAGAAGAGCATGAGGGCTGGGGTGCTGATTGATGCTGAACATCTGGAAAAGATAATCCACTGCACTAGCATTGAGGAAGCTGGCACCTCATACAACTCTTTAATTTTTTTTTTGAGACAGGATCTTAGTCTGTTGCCCAGGCTGAAGTGCAATGGCATGATCTAAGCTCACTGCAGAATTGACCTCCCAGGTTCAAGTGATCCTGCAGCCTCGGCCTCCTGAGTAGCTGGGACCACAGGCTTGCGTCACCATACCTATTTTTCCCATTTTTAATTTATAGTAGAGATGAGGTCTCGCTGTGTTGCCTAGCTGGTCTTAAACTCCTGAGCTCAAGAAATCCTCCCATCTTGGCCTTCCAAAGTGCTGGGATGATAGGCGTGAGCCACCACACCTGGCTCATATGACTCTTTCTAGGGCTCAACTTCTATCCTGGAGGCGTTTCCCCTCTGGCAGTTAGGATTCATCCTGCTCAGTTCTGTGAGGCCATTTTTACCTCTTTACTTCCTTTTCTTTTCTCCAAATTTTACTGATGCCTTTTGCCTGATGTCATCACCTGCCTTGCTCTCTGTCCTTGTGGCTTTATACCTTTTTTCCTTCACTTTAGTAGGATTTCAGGAGGAAGAGATTATAAAATTTAAGGGACTATGAAGCACAGGTTTTCAGTGTATATTTAACCTGAACCCTCCAATGTGCTATATTTTTTAAACTTATTTTTATTTTTATTTTTTTCTCTGTTTCTTGATCAGACTTGCCAGAGGTTTGTGAATTGGTTTAGTTTTTCCCCACGCTGAGGATTTGTGGATTCTCTTTATGATATATTTTCATTAATTTATTATCTTTTTTCCTTTAATTTTCTTCAGGTTTATTTTGTTCTTTCCTAACTTTTTGAAATGGATGCTCATTGTTGATTTTTTTGCCCCCTGTTTTTCTCTTTTGATATATTCATTTCAGGCTATACATTTCCCTCTGATAACTGCTTTAGCTGCATCATGTATATTTTGCCATGTAACATTTTTATTCAAACTCATTTTCTAATTTTCATTATATTTTTAAAAATAGTCACAAAAATTTATAAAATTTAACATTTATGTGTAGTATCCACATAAGGAAGCAAACCTGACAAAAACAAGCAGTGGGGAAAGGATTCCCTGTTTGATAAATGGTGTTGGGGAAACTGGCTAGCCATGTGCAGAAAGCAGAAAGTGGACCCCTTCCTGACACCTTACACTAAAATTAACTCCAGATAGATTAAAGACTTAAACATAAGACCTAACACCATAAAAACCCTAGAAGAAAATCTAGGCAAAACCATTCAGGACATAGGAGTAGGCAAGGACTTCATGACCAAAACACCAAAAGCATTGGCAACAAAAGCCAAAATAGACAAATAGGATCTAATTAAACTCCAGAACTTCTGTATAGCAAAAGAAACAATCATTAGAGTGAACCGGCAACCAACAGAATGGGAAAAGATTTTTGCAGTTTACCCATCTGACAAAGGGCTAATATCTAGAATCTACAAAGAACTAAAACAGATTTACAAGAAAAAAACAAACAAACCCATTCAAAAGTGAGCAAAGGACATGAACAGACACTTTACAAAAGAAGACATACATGAGGCCAACAAACATATGAAAAAATGCTCATCATCACTGGTCATTAGAGAAATGCAAATCAAAACCACATTGAGATACCATCTCATGCCAGTTAGAATGGTGATCATTAAAAAATCTGGAGACAACAGATGCTGGAGAAGATGTAGAAAAACAGGAACACTTTTACACTGTTGGTGGGAGCATAAATTAGTTCAACCATTGTGGAAGACAGTGTGGCGATTCCTCAAGGACCTAGAAATAGAAATTCCATTTGACACCTCAATACCATTACTGGGTATATATCCAGAGGATTATAAATCATTCTATTATAAAGACACATATACACATATGTTCTTTTTGGCACTGTTTACAATAGCAAAGACCTGGAACCAACCCAAATGCCCATCAATAATAGACTGGACAGGGAAAATGTCGCACATATACACCATGGAATACTATGCAGCCATAAAAAACGATGAGTTTGTGCCCTTTGTAGGGACATGGATGAATCTAGAAACCATCATACTCAGCAAACTGACACAAGAACAGAAAATCAAACACTGCATCTTCTCACTCATAGGCAGGTGTTGAACAATGAGAACACATGGAAACAGGGAGGGGAGCATCACACATGGGGTCTATTGGAGGGGACTAGGGGAGGGACGGGGGATAGGGAAGTTGGGGAGGGATAACATGGGGAGAAATGCCAGATGTAGGTGACTGGGGGATGGAGGCAGCAAATCACATTGCCATGCAACAATCCTGCATGTTCTGCACATGTACCCCAGAATCTAAAATGCAAAAAAAAAGAAAAGAAAACATATATTCCAGCCTGGTCAACATGGTAAAAATACAAAAATTAGCAGGGTGTGGTGGCGCACACCTGTTACCCCAGCTGTTTGGGTGGCTGAGGCACAAGAATCACCTGAACTCAGGAGGTGGCAGTTGCAGCGAGCTGATATTACACCATTGCACTCCAGCCTGGGTGGCAGAGCGAGACTGTTTCAAAACCAACCAACCAACCAACAAAAAAACACTAATGCAATGTGTACTCAATGAGGAAATGAGAAATGTTCCCAGTGATGCCAGAATTAACGGAATGCCCTCTGCCGGACACGATGGCTCACACCTGTAGTCCCACCAGTTTGGGAGGACGAGGCAGCTGGATCGTTAGGTCAGGAGTTTAAGACTAGCCTGGGTGACAGAGTCAGATTCTGTCAAAGAAAGAAAAAGAAAGAAAGGGGGGGGGAGAGAAAGAAAGAAAGAAAAAGGGAGAGAGGGAGGGAAGGAAGGAAGGAAAGAAGAAAGAAAGGAAAGAAGGAAAGAAAAGAATGCCCCTATTACCACTACTTGGAATTTTGAAAAATGGTGCTGAAATACACATAACACACATTACTATTTTAACCACTTTTTAAATCACTTATTATTATTTTTTGCGATGGAATCTCATTCTGTCACCCAGGCTGGACTGTAGTGGTGTGATCTTGGACCACTGCAACCTCTGCCTTCCAGGTTCAAGTGATCCTCCCACCTCAGCCTCTGGAGTAGCTGGGCCCACAGGCATGTGCCACCACGCCCAGTTAATTTTTTGTATTTTTAGTAGATACAGAGTTTCACCATCTTGGTCAGGCTGGTCTTGAACTCCTGACCTCGTGATCCACCTGTCCTAGCCTTCCAAAGTGCTGGGATTACAGGTATGAGCCATGTGCCTGGCCTTACTTATTTACTTTTGAGACAGGGTCTTTCTCTGTCAGCCAGGCTGGAGTGCAGTGGCACAATTATTATTCACTACAGCCACACCTCCTGCGATCAAGAATCCTCCCACCTCAGCCTCCCAAGTAGCTGGGACCATAGTTGTGTGCCACCGTGCTTGGCTCACTAAGAAAAAAATATTGTGTGCGGGGGGTACTGGGCACAGTGGCTTATGCCTGTAATCCTGGCACTTTGGGAGGCTGAGGCAGGAGAATCACTTGAGCCCAGGGGTTCAAGATCAGCTTAGGAAACATGGCAGAACCCTGTCTCTACCAAAAAATACAAAAATTAGTTGGGTGTGATGGTATGCATTTGTAGTCCCAGCTACTTGGGAGGCTGAAGTGGGAGGATTGCTTAGCTCTGGGAGGTAGAGGTTGCAGTGAGCCAGTATTATGCTACTGCACTCCAGCCTGGGCAACAGAGTGAGACCCTGTATGAAACAAAAACTTTTTTCTTTTTGGTAGGGACAGGATTTTTCTATGCTGGCCAGGCTGGTCTCAAACTCCTAGGCTCAAGTGATTCTCCTGCCTCAGCCTCCCAAAGTACTGGGATTACAGGCATGAGCCACTGCTCCTAGCCCCCTTTAACTAACTTAAAGTGTACAGCTTGGCCGGGTCCAGCACTTTGGGAGGCTGAGGCAGGCGGATCACTTGAGGTTAGGAGTTTGAGACCAGCCTGGCCAACATGGTGAAACCCCATCTCTACTAAAAAATACAAGAAATTATCCAGGCATGGGGCACCTGTAGTCACAGCTACTGGGGAGGCTGAGGCCGGAGAATTGTTTGAATCTGGGAGGTGGAGGTTGCAGTGAGCTGAGCACTCCACTGCACTCCAGCCTGAGCAACAGAATGGGACTCCTTCTCAAAAAAATAAAAATAAAATAAATAAAGCGCACAGCTCAGTGGCATTAAGGACCTTGACATTTTTGTGCAACCGCATTTTCATTTTGATCTATAGGTTATTCAGAAATGGTTTTAAGTTTTGAAACTGGGAGGGATTTTTAGAAGTTTTTTTGTGTACCTAGTTTAATTACATTATGGTTAGAGAATACATTTTATATAATTTCAATTGTAAACATATTAAGATTTCTTTATGGCCCTGGATATGCAGATTCTTATAAATGTTCCGTATATGCTTTATAAGGGTTTATATTCTGCAGTTGTTGGGTGCAGTGTTCTATATACATCTATTCAGTCAAGTTTATGAATTCTGTTTAAATGCATTTAAAACATCAGACTCTTCAGTACAGCTCTCTCTGTGATGATGGGCGTGTTCTCCATCCACACTGTCTACCAGGGTAGCCACTAGCCACATGTGGTTATTGAGCACTTGAACAATAACTAGTGTAACTGAGGAGCAGAATCTTTAGTTTTATTTACTCTTACTTAATTAAACTTTAGGTTAGGCATGGTAGCTCATGCCTGTAATTTCAGCACTTTGTGAGACTGAGGCGGGCGGATCACAAGGTCAAGACATCGAGACCACCCTGGTCAACATGGTGAAACCCCATCTCTACTAAAAATACAAACATTAGCTGGGTGAGGTGGTGCGTGCCTGTAGTCCCAGCTACTCGGGAAGCTGAGGCAGGAGAATCGCTTGAACCCAGGAGATGGAGGTTGCAGTTAGCTGAGACTATGCCACTGCACTCCAGCTGGATGACAAAGTGAGACTCATCTCAAAAAAAAAAAAAATTTAGTAACCACATGTGGCTCATGGCTATCATATTGGACCACCAGCTCTAAATTGAGACCGAATTTGTTTTTATTTGAATGTTCTGCCAATTACTGAAAAAGGGGCGTTGTAATCTTCCACCATTACTGGTGGAAATGCTGTTTTTGTTTGAAGACATCTTTAAACTGTTTTTTCAAACAGGGTTTTAGAAACATACACTTACTGTTTGGAAAAAACTCTCAAACTCTTTTTCCTCTGGTGTCACACAACAACAATCAACACAGACTTCTGTGATCCCAAAATGTGTGGGGATATCTGTGACCCTGAATATATGTGGGGCTATCTGTGACCCTGAATATATGTGGGGCAGTCTTCCCTCCAGCAAGCAAGCAGTCACTTCTTCAGCAGACACCCACTGCAGTTCAGTTCCCACACTGTCTGCCTGGAGACGGCGTCAGGTCCCACCGGTTGAGGGCTCCGTCAGACTGCCCCTCCTTCTCACCAGTCACAATCCTGCTGCAGTGTTGCTGGGCTGTCTGCTTTGGAGGGACCTTGTTTTTTTTAGATGAAATTTTGCTCTTGTTGCCCAGTCTGGAGTGCAGTGGTGTGATCTCAGCTTACTGCAACCTCTGCCTCCTGGGTTCAAGCGATTCTCCTGCCCCAGCCTCCCGAGTAGCTGGGATTATAGGCATGCGCCACCACGCCTGGCTGATTTTTTTACTTTTAGTAGAGATGGGGTTCCACCATGTTAGTCACTATGGGAGCCCACATTGGCCTCCCATCGTGCTGTGATTATAGGTGTAAGCCACCATGCCTGGCTGGAGGGTCCATGTTAAAAAGCCTCCTGGCACAACCTCCCAGCTGGTCTGATCAGTATGTTTTTCTAACTGGCCTCTCTTCCCCTATCTCTGATCGCCCTCAACTTTAAAGGGAAGTAGAAATAGACAAGAGAACAGTCACGACTAAAGGTAGTAATGGCAAAATTCTATCCTACAGAGGTGATGAGACCTTGTAATAGCAATCTATAAAACCATCAATGATAACTGGGTGCAGTGGCTCAGGCTTGTAATCCTAGCACTTTGGGAGGCTGAGGCAGGAGGATTGTTTGAGGCCACGAGTTTGAGACCAGCCTGATCAACATAGCGAGACTCCATCTCTACAAGAAATTTTAAAAAAAAAATTACCTGAGCTTGGTGGTGTACACTTGTAGTCCCATCTTTCCAGGAGGCTGAGGTGGGAGGATCACTTGAGCTCAGGAGGTTGAGGCTGCAGTGAGCCATGATCACACCACTGCACTCCAGCCTGGGCAACAAGGCAAGACCCTGTCTCTAAAAAAGGAAACAGAAAGATCAAATCATGACTAAAAGCAAAACTCTGGAGCATCTGAAAATGGGTCTCCCATGGCCTAAATAACCGGGGCACCTCAGATGGAACCCTAGACCCATCAGGAACTCCTACTTCAGTGGAACTGTTAGTGGAAGGAAACACAGGCTTACAAAGGGTTAATACTGAATCATACTGATTTCATAAAGAAGAAAAGCTTAAAAAATAAGAAATGGGAAAATCACAAAAGGTAGTTCAGGGGAATAGGTATTTTTAGAGTTCGTCCTTGCTATCTGAGGTTCCCCCAGGTGGGGCAGCCACATTCATTACCGGAGGTTCCCCAGAATTTAGGGGTGTGATACGGACCCAGGCCTGATTCATGGGGTCATTTCCATTGCAAGTGTTGCGGAAACCCCCTTAAAACTGGGCCCTCATTTCATGGGGAATGCCTGTCTGTGCACCTAGGCGGTAACGATGGAAACCATTCCCTGTGCTGTGGAGGGGCTTTCAGGTGGAACGTCTCTCAGAAAGAGCACAGAGGGACTAAGGAGCATGTTTGGGTGGAGGAACTCAAATACCAACCTTCTGCAGCTGCTGGAGGATGACCACACATCCAGATCTTTCCCTGAAGCAAAGCAAAATTGAGATGATTGGATTTATCTTGGGGAATTGAGGAGAAAGCCCTTAGGCTGTGGTGCTTTCTAGCTTTTAACATTGCAGATGCTAAATGTTAGAATCTGAGTGGCAGTGGTTCAATCTCGGTATATTTGTTGTTGATTTTAAAATGAGATAAATGGTTTGAAAATTACCATGTTAACTTGTTCCTATATTTCTGCTTTAAGTGGATATGAGTTGAGCCATAAATGAAAATGTTACTGACTTACGCATTATGATTTTTCAACCTAAATATTTAAAGTAATTATATATATAAATCTAATTTCAAAGTATATTTTCATCCCATTTATCTCTTTCCAAAAGCACTGCCAGGGAAAGATGTAGAAGAGAAACCTGAACAACCACCTAGAACAAGAGAGACTGACAAATCACCCGCCAGGACGGAGCCTCGACAGCAACCAAGTGCCTTATTTGCTAGAGGAAACAGGAAAGCAGTCAAAAGTCCCCAAAGATCATCAAGTAAAATAAAAGAAAACAAGCATCCATTTGCTCTTTATGGCTGGGGAGAAAAACAGACGGATACAGGAAGCCAGAAGACTCACAATGTCTGCGCATCCGCTCCTGTGCACGAGGTCTGCTCTGGGCCCTTGTGGTTCTGTGTTCCCTTTGAGAGTGGCAAGCGGGGCCATGTGCCTGCCATCGGGCATCACGTCCTTTGGCCACTGGGTGCTTTGGGCCCATGGGAGATCTTAGGGGATAGCATGGTGGGCTGGGGAACTCACCAAACCTTTGGAACCTCTGATAAATCAAAGGAGGATTCTGCATGTTGGTTGCCTGGAGAGTGAGGGGTTTTGGCTGGGAGTTACCTGGTACCCAGAAGGGTTTAGTGACACCAAGCTGGGCAAAAAAGTAGATGCTGAGTTGGGGTTCCCAAGTTCCTGGGGGGCCAAGAGGTAAGGAGAAGCAGCACAGCCAAGGCTGACGACGGCCCGTCTGGATTTGCCACTGGCCTGTTGAGCTGTTTAGGTTTCCTCCAGCTTCAGTAACCCGGCACTTGGACTCCTTTATCTTTGGTTTGTCTGATTGACTGATGGCTTGGTATCTGCTATAGGCTCCCTTTTGCTCTTCTGATGAAATTTAAATGGCTGCATTTCCCCTCTTCATCCATAACAAATGCATTTTACTCCCAGGAGCTTTAGTTCTCCCCTGAGTTAGCCTTAGCTTGTCCCCCTGTATCAAGGCCTGGAAACATTTCAAATGAGAGGATCTTCATGTGGAGTCACAAAACATGTACATTAGCATTAACACCCTTACGACAGCCTAAAGCAAAGGGTGCATTTAAGGAAGCAGAAAGGGGAACTGTGAACGGTTCTGGATAAATAGCATGATGCAAGTTTCCCTGAACAGGCCTCTGAACCCCAGCAGATGGTGTTATTTGGAGTGATATTTGAGACCACAAACCTGCCGTTTAACAAAAGATCTCTGACAAGTCCACAGGATTAATTTGAACAGGATTTATCTGTAGTATAAGACATCTTTGGTGGTAAAATCCCTTGAGATGTGTTTGGTATACCAATGGTAAACATTTAAAGTTCTTTTATTTCCCCTGCTTCTTATGAGCTGTATATGAGTCTCTAGTGAAATACTTATGCTTAATGCTAAGCAGTTTGGACAGATTTCCAGAGCCAGTTCTAGAGGCACATGCAAATTCGTTGCTTACCATCTCTGTCTGACATTTAATTTGCTGTTGCTTAGTTTCATTATCCCGGAAATGAATCAAATGAGAGTAGCGTCGAGTGAGAATGGCTCTTCTGTGGAAATTTTTATGTAAAGAAGAACTCTAGAAAGAGGCGGGGTTTGGCTCTGCCCTGCTGCAGGTGACCTGGCAATAGGCAGCGTCGTGGCAACCTTTGTTGAACATTAGTGTAATAGCCACTCAAGTTACTATCCTTTTATTTTGAACTCTCTTTAGATTCATGAATCAGCATTACGAGCCAAGAACAGAAGACAGGTGGAAAAAAGGAAACTGGTTGCCCAAAGGCAGCGTGCCCACTCTGTGGATATAGAGAAGAACAGAAAGATGAAGGCTTCCTCCTCAGAGAACCCGTGGATGACAGAATACATGAGGTGCTATTCAGCAAGAGCTTGAAGAAACACTTGGGTGGACAGCCTCTTTTAAAAAGTGTCAATGACCAAAAGGAAAATCAAAACAAAAACCATCAAAAGAAACTGGACACAGGTTTAAGAAACCAACTGATTATGCAAGGTTTTTTTTAGGGAATTTGTAAAAGATTGTTTTATTTTGATGAATATTGGTCACCTACCTCGGCAGTAGGGCAGACAGTTGAAGCCATAGACATTTGGTTATTTATGAAGATAATTCCCTAAATCTTTGATATTCTTATAAGGGTTTTGTTTTAAAGCATCTTAGTCTTTTAAGACACTGACACCAAATGCCTTTAAATGGCGACGGATGCTTACACTTCAGTATTCTTTTCATAAGTTTAGGTAGAGCCTATTTTCATCTTGTTCTAAATAACTTTCCAGATTCTGTAGCTATAAGACCATTCCATCCTACAACATAAGACTCGTCTTCCTTATGTGCTGTTTTCTTTGTGAAAGAATATCAAGTCAAAACTGAGTGTCAACACTGCTACTGATTCCATGTATAATGAAACTAGAACTTGGCTAGTTCCTGAAAAATTTAAACTTGTTTGTATTTCGGTTCAGCAGCATCTTCATGTAAGATTGTGATATTTAAGAATTATCTGGGCTGGGCGAGGGTCTCTTTTTCTCTTTCAATGAGCATCTAGGCACTTATTATTTAATAGTTTAATAGCTCAAATACATTCCAATAGATGAAGTGCACACAACACAATATGTGTGTAGAGTAGTAGTGAAGCTTCTTTGGAGTCAAAGACTCACTTTTTTATTGCCAGTTTTTTTTTTAGAACACATACTGTGGATTCAGTCCCTTGTCACACTCAATCTTTTGGCATACACCTGCTGTGGACTTTTGCCTCTTCTATAATAGCTGGCAATGACATTTCAAACTTACAGTGTGGAATTGCATTTAGTACTCGGCATTGCTTGTTCCACTGGGATGGGGGCCGGTGTTAAGATGCCTGTAAGACAGACTGCACCCCTCTTTCTCTACTTTTTCTTTACAGCACTTAACAACAACAAAGTCTCGATGATGTACAGTGTTCAAACTTTAGGTTGAACTACATTACTCTTTGATTCCTAGCTAGTAGCTCTTACCTGCACTTTAATGGGAGAGAATGGTGGTGTGTGGATAGGCACAAATTTATGTAAATAGTGCTCCTTCTCTTTAGTATGTTTGCTTCTGGGGTAGAAAAATGATTTTAAAAAACACTGGTTTCCATCAGATGGATGACATCCTCTCTATCCTGTGGAGATAGGATTCTAATAGAATCCTATCTCTTACAAGAGATAAGAAAGGTGCTTTGCCTATGCCAGCTTGGCACCTGAAGATGTGTGAGTGGACGTGAGGCTGAACATTACCTTGATATTTTTCTCTGGGTTTTGGAAGACCATAGTCAATTTTTAGAACAGATTGGTTTCATTCCCTATAAAATCTTCACGTGTGATCATAACTGTTTAAGCTTTGAAAACACATACTGAAGTATTGTGAGCTTTAAAAAACTTTTTAAATATTTGCATAGTTTTAAGGTGAATTTGTTTCCTTGGAGAGCTCTCCTAATATGTTGAGTTGTATATTTCAAAAGAGGAAATTTTACATGTTGTTCAAAACAGCCTTGCTAGTAACCGGTGAATTTTGGTATTAATTATTATTAAAGTCTTTAAATGACACAGGTACTGAAAGATCACCTTAATGTGTGGTGTGGTTAGCTGATTGTGAAAACTGTTCCTGTTAAGTCACTTCTTGCATGTTTGGTGTTAGCCATCCAGCTCAGGCTCGTGTTGCAGCTGACAATCTAGGAAGGACGGCCTTGGAGAGCGCCTCAGGCCCCACGCTGACGGAATGCCTTAGAAACCCGACTTCCTCTAGATTTGAACACCCAGACTTTTCTCTTGTTTAGAAAACAGACTTGTATTTATTTAATGTACTTACTACTTAAAACTCCAGACACAGGTAAGGCCTAGAAGGCAAATATTGGCCAATTTTTTCTTCATTTTAGGTGAAAGACAAATGAACGAGATTTTTAAAGTGCATGAATCGTGAATTAATCAGTGTGAATTAATTGTAAGCCTTCATCTTATGTCCAAGTCCTTAGTTGCTTAGGGTTTCTTTTCTTTGTTTTTTAAAGAGTGACAATTACCTTTTGAACCTGTGAAAATTTTAAGAGTTGTTACAATTTGATGGTCTCCTTCTTTCTTTTCATTCTAGAAATGAATATGGTTGTAATCGTGTTTCTAATTCTTGGGACAACCTGCAAGACAGTGAGATAGTTTAAAAATTACCTTTCATGTTGAAAAAGTCTGAAACTGAGAATCCAGTGATACTTAAATGCTACATAAAACTCTTTTAAAATTTTTGATTTCAAGTTCTTAATTAAAACATTTGTCATAAATGTGATTTTGTTTTTTTATGTTATTGCTTTTAATATAAAATAATAGAATATTGAAGCAATAATATCTAGCACTCTGCTGGACATTAAGTCCACGGGAGGGGAGGTAAATAGGAATTGATTCCTTGTCTTTTAACCGCTCTTATTCAGGAGCTGTTAAAACCCTTGGGACCTCTGGCGACATAGATACTCTGCTCCTTAAAATTTCTAAGCACATCTATTCATTTTAAAAATGCATCTTTAAAAGATTATAGTTAATAGTTGTACCTTTTAGTTAATATTGTATTTACTTGGAAATATTTGACTAAATGAATCTTTAAAAGACTCATTTTAAAAATGAATAAATGTAAAATAGGCTACAGGGTGATCTTTCTTGCATATTATGTAGGAGGCATATTTATGCCATTTCATGTGTAGTATCTGTCATTGTGTTTCATCAAAGATCAATTCCTAGCAACTCGAAGGGTGTATATATGTATATACACATATATATACACACACACATACACATACACACACACACTTAGGTCACTTGAACTCAGCGGACTAAATTGTAAGAAAGAGAGCAATCAATATGGCTGTTATTGGAAACCATAATTCTTTCCAGAAAAGAATTCTGCACAGTTTATAAGTTAAATCTGTAGGGTCTTCTGCTATCCTTTTTTAGGTTGATAATGCTGTACTGGGCACAGACTTTGTACATAGAATGTTATGGTACAGTCGCCTCTGAGGATCCATGGGGCATTGGTTCCTGGCCTCCCTTAGAATGCCAAACTTCACGGATACCCAAGCCGCTTCTATAAAATGGTGTAATATTTGCATATAACCTACACACATCCTCCTGTATACTTCAAATCATCTCCAGATTACTTAAAATACTGAATAAAATGTAAATGCTCTGTAAATAGTTGTTATACTGTATTGTTTAGGGAATAATGACTAGGGGAAAAAAGCCTGTACGTGTTCAGCACAAATGAAATCATCTCTTTTTCCCCAAATATTTTCAATTCATATTTGGTTGAATCCATGGATGCAGAACTCTCAGATACAGAGGACAGACTTTACTTTCTTTGCAATGTTCAAAAGTATTACCAGCAAAGAGGAAGAGGAGCAAAGCATATATCAGAAGTCAAACGATTTTTCTTGTTGACTGCTTTGGTAGAAATCAGTTTAATGGATAGTTTTACATTTCACTGGACTAGATTAAAAATGGTGCTAATATTTATGTAGCTTGATGCTATAGTTGCTTTTGTGTCTAACTTAATACCAGACCCATAAAAGGTCCTTACTATATAATTTTGTGATCAGTTAAATGATATTTTAAAGAGTGATCTTAAAACTATGACCTGGTCATTTCAAAATGTCTGCATTTGAAATGAATATTTGCATTATAGGGTGGATATGAAGTTATTCGGTGCAAGGTATGCTTAATACCAAATCCTACGCAAGGAGCTCTGTCTAGGTTTTTGGTTCAAATTTGCCTCCTTCAAGCCTGCTAGTATGAGATGGAAAAAAAAATCGATTGCTCTTTTAATATTATTTTCTTTTTGAAATTCTGGACACCTGAATGAAGACAGTAGATGCCTCTTTTTAGATTTCTCTTATAATAACAAAACTTTATTGAGGGAAGCTTTCCCTATGCTATTGTAAGTTTGCTTTGAGCACTGCACTCACTTTAAAATGCTGGAGGAACCAAGGCTGGGTACGTATAATCACAAAGCCCAGGCCACAGGAATTTGGGGTTGTATTTTCTAAGACCTATGTATCATTTTTAGCTTATAGTTAATATTGTATTTACTTGGAAAAATGTGAATAAAGTTAATTAACATTACAGGCTGAGACTACTTTGTGAGAAATAATTCTGCTTAGTACCTAAATGACTTGAAGAAAATGTATGATCATATTGACTCCTAAAAGGATTTTTCAGTAGGTAAATGTTTAACAAGATACATTAGGTATGTCCAGGAAAAGATAAATAGTGTATATACACTTGCAGTTGAGCTCTAATTTTTCCCAGTCTTTTCCTTCACATCATCTTACCATTTTGAAAGTTACAAAAGTAATAGTGCATGGTTAAAACAACTCAAAAAGAAGTATAGAGTTGGCCGGGCATGGTGACTCATGCCTGTATCCCCAGCACTTTGGGAGCTGAGGTGAGCAGATCACTTGAGGTCGGGAGTTCGTGACCAGCCTGGCCAACATGGTAAAACTCCATCTCTACTAAAAATACAAAAATTAGCCAGGCGTGGTGGCGGGCACCTGTAATCCCAGCTACTCGGAAAGCTGAGGCAGGAGAATCGCTTGAACCCGGGAGGAGGTTGCAGTGAGCTGAGATCATGCCACTGCACTCCAGCTTGGGCAACAGAGCAAAACTCCATCTCAAAAAAAAAAAAAGATAAGAGTTAAAAGTGAAAGTTCCCTTCAACAGCAACCTCCTCTCATTGAAATTCTACTCCCCTTCTTAGAATAAACCAGTTTTAAGTTTTGTGTGTAAATTTGCAGACCTTTTTCCTAGGCATTTTTCTCTGGAGGTACATGCACACACTTTTTTTGGCACAAATATTGGATAATGCTATAGACATTCTCCAATTTTTGTCCCTTAATATCTTAGGGAAGATTCTAGTTCCAGGAAGATGGAGTAAGCACACATTCCCCCACTTTGCTTTTACTGATGACATCTATAAAATACGGATGGAGTGTGTCACACAGCTGCTTGAGGACTCTGAAGAGTAAGTATCAACACACATATTGGGTACGCTAGACTTCTAAGCACCACTAAAGTGGTGGTGTCTTCCTTTTTTTCCTTCTTCATGTATCATCTGGCCTTAACACAGGCCAAAGCACAGAAGTGGGCACCGTGGTGTAGAGATCCAGAAGCAGCCTGGCTTGAGAGACAGGAGGGGAAGGAACAGCTGAAGCTCAGAGAGTGAGGGAAATGACCCCCTTCCCACTCCTTTTCCCCATTTTCTCATGTTGAAGCTCCCAGGTAACCCCTGGCCGCCAGTGGGAGCCTGTAGGAGCCAGGAGCCCGAGGGAGAGCCTCACACATCTCCACTGAGTAGAGCTGTGTCACCATGAGGTGGGCCTGAGCTGATGTGCTCTTTTCCTCTCTGAAGGATATGGCTTAATTGCAGAAGTGGGCAATTTTGGGCCAGACAACCAAAAAAGGGGAGCCCTAGGGAATGAGGAAGTACTGAGGAGAGAGCAGAGAGGGAAGAGCTTAAGAAAGTGACTCTGCAGTTATTTATGAACTCCCTCCCACCTAGTCACACTGTTCACAGTGCTTAGGGTAGAGATGATACTAAGTCATACCAAAGACAGCTGAGAACTGAGCTTACAGGTGAGCTCTGTCAGGCCTCAGGCCGACCACAAGATGGGGCCTATATGGGATGAATCCAAATAGCACTGCAAAAGCTTTGAAAACTGAAGTGACATTGGGACCAAAACTCACAGAAGGAAGGTTGGAGTTTTTGGCCTGAACCTCACCAGGTAATTGCCTGCTATCCTGCTATAATAAAACAAAAATATCAACATTTTCTATAGGACTTAAACAAAAGCCGCGTCTCATCATGTAACATTCAAAATGTTTACAATACAATCCCAAATTATTTGGCATCTAAAAACCATGAAAATAATTCTAATGGGAAAAGACAACAGAAGCCATTATAGACTTTCAAGTAGTTAATATTAAGAAAGCTCAAATAAGCAAACACTCCTGAAACAGATCAGTAAGGAGGTAATATAAGGAAGAACCAAAGGAAAATATTAGAACTGAAAATACTATAACATTTTAATAATTCACTGGATAGACTCCATGGAATGGAAATGACAAAAGAAAGACACAAATTGATCAAATCATCCAATCTGAACAGAAAAAGTCACTGAAAAATGAACAGAATTTCAGGGATCTGTGGGATGATACCGACAGGTCTCACAGTCATGTCGCAGATGGATAAGAGAGTGCAGTGCTTGATGAACATGTATAATTAATGGCTGAAAAAAATCCCAAGATGGCTGAAATCTTAGATTCAAGAAGCTGAGTAAATCCTAAACAGGATCAATTCAAAGAAGTCAATGCCCAGACACATCAGAAACTGCTGAAAACTAAAAGACATCTTGAAAGAGCCATAGAAAAATGATGCATTACCTATAGGGAAACAACAATTTGAATGACAGCAGAATTTTCATCAGAAACCGTGGAAGTCAGAAGGAAGTGGCCCATTTCTTAAAATGCTGAAAGAAAATAACTGTCAATTCAGAATTCTTATCCAGTAAGGCATTCCTCAGGAATGAAAGTGAAATAAAGACATTCCCAGATGCATGAAAACGGAGAGGACAGGCAGCGGTCGGCCTGTTCTAAAGGAACGGCAAAGGCAGGCAGTCCTCCAGAGAAAAACAGCACCGAAAGGAAACTTAGAACATCAGAAATGAAGAAGAGCAACAAAAACGGCAGCTATCTGGGTAACATATAATAGACTATTCTCCTCTTGAGTTCTTTATAACATGTTTGATTGTTGAAAGCAAAAAATATAACATCGTCTGATATGGTTTTCAATGTATATAGATGCAATATATAAGACACCTTTAACAGAAAGAGGGCAGGTAAAGGGACCCACTTGGGGAGAAGTTTTCTGGATTCTAATTAAATTTAAGTGATAAAAATGGTTCTAAATAGACTGGTGTTTTTCTTTCAAAACTTTATACAAAGATATAGTCAAAATCATAATAGGCAATATGAAATACCAAAAATGTTCAACTAGGCCAGGCGTGGTGGCTCATGTCTGTAATCCCAGGACTTTGGGAGGCCCAGATGGGTGGATTACCTGAGGCCAGGTGTTCAAGACCAGCCTGGCCAACATGGCGAAACCATCTCAAAAACACAAAAAGTAGCCAGGCATGGTGGCGGGTGCCTGTAGTCCCAGATACTCCAGAGGCTGAGGCAGGAGGATCACCTGAACCTGGGAGGTGGAGGCTGCAGTGAGCCGAGACTGCACCACTGCACTCCAGCCTGGGTGACAGAGTAAGATTCTGTCTCAAAAAAAAAAAAAAAGAAAGAAAATAAAGGTTAAAATAACCCAAAAGAAAACAGGAAATGGGGAGCCAAAGAACAAAAAAACAGAACAAAAAGAAACCACACACATAATTACATTAAATGTAAATAGTATAAATATACCAATTAAAAGACAGTATCAGAATGATTTTTCAAAAACATGATTCAGCCATATGATGTCTATAAGAAATAGCCATACAGATAGGTTAATAGTAAAGGACAGAAAAAGATAAACCTAGCCAGGCGTGTAATCCCAGCACTTGCCTGTAATCCCAGCATTTTGGGAGGCTGAAGCAGGTGGATTACTTAGGGCCAGGAATTCAAGACCAGCCTGGACAACATGGTGAAATCCCATCTCTACAACAACAAAAACAAATACAAAAATTAGCCGGGTGTGGTGGCCCATGCCTGTAATCCCAGCTACTCAGGAGACTGAGGCATGAGAATTGGTTTAACCTGGGAGGTGGAGGTTGCAGTGAGTTGAGATTGCACCACTGCACTCCAGCCTGGGTGACATTGTCTCAAAAAATTAAAAAAATAAAAAATAAAAATAGACCATTCAAATGCTAATCTAAAAAAAAAAGCAATAGCAAAATTGATTTCAGAGCAAAGGAAATTACCAGGGATAAAGAGGGTCTTTATATAAAAGAGTCAATTCACCAAGAAGACACAGCATGTTTAAAGGTATACACACCTGGCAGCAGAACTACACTGTATATAAGCCTCTGTGCCCACAGTGCACAAGCATAGTGATGCTCCCTAAAACCTGCTGGACTTACCTAAGTGCGGCAAGCATCACCCCTAAAAAAATGAGACAGTGCAAGAACAGCAGAACATAGAATTCTCTGTACGCCCAAGGAAAGCAGGGTTATGACAGGAAGCAGATGTCTACGGTGGACAGGGGAATTACTGGAAAAAAGCTAACATGACAAGATTGTGCTGAGGCAAAACGTGAAGGAAATCTGACAACTGAAAGAAGAACTAGACAAATTCACAATTACAGTTGAAGACTTCAATACTCCTAACAGTAATAGAACTAATCAATAGATAGAAAATCAGTCAAGACAGAAGAACTGAGTATCATTAATCAAATGGCTGTAATGGACATTTATAGAGCACCACACCCAACATCAGCATAATACACACATTCTTCCAGGAGCACGCAGAACATTCTCTAACACCATATCCTGGCTTATAAAGTAAACCTGAACGAACGTAAAATAACTGAAATCATACAAAGTATGTTTCTGACCATAATGGAATTGAACTAAAATTCAGTAATAGAAAGATAACAGGACAATCCGAAATGGCCTGGAAGTTAAACATACTCAAACCACCAAAGAGGAATTCTCAAGAGAAATCAGAAAATATTTCAAAGGGGAAAAAAGTGAAATTATAGCATATTAAAATATGTAGGCACAGATAATGCAGTGTTTAGAGGGAAATTTATTGCATCAAGTGCAATAAATTCTTTTATTGATTTGAAATCTTTTATTATGAAAGAAGATTTCAGATCAATAATCTGAGCTTCCACAGTAAACAGAGAATGATAAACCCACATCTAGGAGAATAAAGGAAGGAAGAAAAGCAGTCATTAATGAAATTGAAAACAAAAATGGAATATGAATGAAGCCAAGAGCTGTTATGCTGAAAAAATTATTGAGAAACGTCTAGTATGACTGAACATTTGTAAAAGGTAGCCATACATGTATGTCAACGTCAGGAATACGATGATTGACATTTTACTGATTTTTTTTTTTTTAAAATAGGGTCTCATTTTG